TAACACTAAATAAACACTAAATAAAACTGATTAAAAATAGAAATTTACTTAAAAGTTATTCTTAAATTAAAAAATTAAAATACAGAAAACATAAACTGTCCTGATAATCTTGATTTTTGGTTGTAGAAAATTTTATTTTGCTTTGACATGCTGAATTGTTATGAATGCATCTAAAAGCACATACACACAACATCATATAAGTACCTTTATTTTTATTTTGTCTGCTTGTCTTGATTTTGGAAATTGACATTGCTTTTGATAATTAAGATTTCAGATCAGTTTCTAATTTCATGTTGGAATACTTCATTACAGTTTATATTTTTGCATTTCTTCTATTAAAGTATTTACAAAGATAACTTCTGGTCCTGGCCAAATTAAAGTAGCCTCATTCCTTCCAGGTCTTCTTTCTTAGAACTAAAAAGCCTGGGCCTAACTCAACGGACCAGCATAGGAAGACTCTGAATGTTCAAAAGAAGGTGGACCATTTAGGTACCTTGGGACTTGAGGACTGGGATGGCAGTGGGTTCCCTGGGTTGCCTTCCTTACATGCTGGACAGGGCCCTGCAGAAGCTTCTAACCTAGAAGCAGCAACAGACATATTAAAAAAAAGCTCCAAGATAAGCCTGTTTAGCCAAAACTTTTTGGTTATATCTGCGCTACCACAGTCAAACAACAATGGAAAAACCACACCCTTCCTCTCTGGAAGTTTCTTTAAGGCCAAGTAGGAAGCACACAATGCCTGGAGTCCCATTTGTAGTCATACTTGTGAGTATTAGGCTGATGTAGTTACACCAAATCTCCATTGTAAAGTACCTCATTGACTTTTCATTTAATGGTTTAATCCGCTGATGATTATTGTCTGAATCTTTTATTCCATGACGGATTGCTAAATGGCAATTTTCCAATTCTGATATTTCTTTCACATTTATTATAAAAAACAACTTACCCTCAACAATGATTTGGTTTTCTGAAATAGTTAAATCAGGAAAGGTAGTGTAAGTTCTAATTCTTTTCTTTTAATTGACTATTTTATTTTATTTATTTTTTTAAATTGAAGTACAGTCAGTTATAATGCGTCAATTTATGGTGTACAGCACAATGTTCCAGTCATGTACATACATACATATATTTGTTTTCATATTTTTTATTAAAGGTTATTACAAAATACTGAACATAGTTCCCTGTGCTATACAAAAGAAACTTTTTTTTAAAAATCTGTTTTTATATATAGTGGCTAACATTTGTAAATCTCGAACTCCCAAATTTATCCCTTTCCACCACCTTTCCTTGCTAAATATAAGATTGTTTACTATGTTACTGACAATTTTAGAATAAGGAGTTTGTGCCCTAGTTACTTGTAATAGTATCCAGTGAATTGTTTTTGTTTTTATTTATTTTTTTGTCTCCCTCCTTTGAAGCATCATTAAGAACTCATGGATTTTTATATATTCAATATGTTTCAAACAATTGTATTCATTATTTTTTTTATGCTCAAATTGTCTCATTTTTGGCCAAAAGGACCCTTTGATTTTGGTTTCTGTCACCTTGTATATACTTATTTATTGTGAATAGATTCCTTATTTTGTGGTACAAGATATCCCATACTCATTTGTATATATCCTGTCCCAGACCTGAAATTAGACATTCCTCTGAGTGGCCCTAGTTTCTTTTAGTTGGAAATTGTATTTAAAAACCCAAAATGGATGACTTAAATTATTTCATTTGTAGTAAAAATGAAAGCTTATACAGACAAAGTTTTATCCCAAGGCAGTAACTTTAGAACCTATTGTTTATTTAGGTAATAAATAAAACTGTAATTGCCTGTTTTATTTTTATTTTAAACTCACTTTTAAATTATTTATGTAGAAGGAGATACACATCACTCATTATAAGTCTACCTAAAATTGGTTAATAACTGTATACCAATGTTTCATTTTTTCAGATGGCACAATTTATATTCATAATTTCCCCCCAAAAAGTCTGAAATGAGGGATATAAATGAAATCTCGAATGTTTTCATATGTATTCAAATAAGACTAACAATTTCAGCAGAGTTGCTATAGTAAAAGCTTAGAAAAAAACTTACAGAAATGTGATGGTTTGATATGAGCTGTCAGATTTTGAGTCTTAGCTTGGAATAAGTGAAGGGCTATAATTTGAGGTGTTAGCAGACTCTAGTGTGGGAATGCATGTTATTCAAGTAAATGAAACGCATAATGCTATTCACCAGTGATTCTCAGAGTGGGGTCTGAGGACCCCTAGAGGTTTCTAAGACCCTTTTAGGGGGTTTGCAAGGTCCTCCCTTTTTCTACCATGAATCTGAATGAGGACCAATTTTCTTCATAATATCTTAGCTATAACAACATATCAGAACAGATTAAATGCTGAAGCAGAATGTGAGCTGTCTCTCTTAAGGCAGATAGTAAAGAGATATGCCAAAAAATGGGGAAAAGGCCACTTTTCTCATTAATTTAAAAAAATGTAGTCACTATTCAAAAATATTCTCTATAGTGAACCTGAAATGGGTTTATTATTTTAAAAATGAGTTAATTAAAATACATCTATTTTTTGGTTTTAATTTTTAATACAGTAAATATGGACATATATAACCCACACAAACAAAAAGCTCTTTAAAGTCCTCAACCATTTTTAAGAATGCAACCATTTTTAAGAATGCAAAGAGATCTTGAGACCAAGAATTTTGAGAACCTTTATTCTATGATGTCTTGCACTGTTTGATTATTAACCATAAGTATGTATGAATAGGGACAGATTTGAAATATAAATGTATTCATAATGTTTCTAAACTTTATTTCAAGTTTACTTTAATTAAATATCTCTTGAGCACTAGACATGATATCTAGCCATAATCTGATTTTGTACCTTAGGAGTATATTATTCATTCTCTTCCTGATGACATTAATGCCAAGAGGGTTGCTCTAATAAAGAGACAATTCATCATGTTTCAACTCCACACACAAAGCCAAATATTTAGTTTAGAATTTAATCGATGAAATTTGAGGAAAATGGGATGTCCTGAGGTTCTACCCCAGCTTCTTTTTCTTTAATAGACAATTTTTTAAAAGCACAGTTTTAGGTTTACAGCAAAATTGAGCAGCAAGTACAGAGACCCCACACTTGCACAGCCTCCCCAACTATTAACTTCCCATCAACAAAGTGGTACATTTGTTACAATGGATGAACCTACACTGACATATCATAATCACCAGAGTCTGTGGTTTACATCAGGGTTCACTCTTGGTGTTACACATTCTATCCTGTTTGACAAATGTATAAGGATATGCATCACCCTGATAGTATTATACAGAATATTTTCACTGTCCTAAAAATCCTATAGGCTCTGCCTATTCTTCCCTTCTTTGTCATAAACCCTTGTCAACTACTGACCTTCTTACCAGCTCCATTTTTGTGCCTTTTTCAGAGTGTCATATAGTTGGAATCATACAGTATACCATAGCCAGTTTTGATTACTTCAGCTTAAGTACATTTGATGAATCTTAGTGACAAAGTCAGGTCAGACTTGACAACTCTTTTTGTATGTTTATTTACTTTCCATTAGAATAAAAATCACACATACCTGTCTTTGTTGTTTTCCCCTGTACATTCCATCCCCGACTGCCAGCTCCTTGTGGCCAGGAACTCCATCTGTTTAATTTGAGACTGCTTAAATTAAGTATTAATTATTAGTGTCAATAGATTCCAGTCCAATTTACAAATAGGCCCCCGTGAACATTTGATGAGGGTGGTCTTTTCAGCTAAGTGCTCTTGGAATTAAATCCTTAAGCATGAGCAAAATAGTAATTATTTCAATAATAAAGAATAACTAAGAAATAAGAAAATAATAAATAAGAAAAACTACAAAAGTAGTACATAACCCCTTCACAGGAGAGCAATTTCACTGTCCTCAGATTTATCAGGTCCTTTTAAGACTCTTGAGTACGTTTTACACCTTTATAGTTAGTTTTGAGCCCAAAGTACCAGAGCATTTGGTATTTATATTTGTAATAAATAATTTGAAAACGCACAGAGTAACCCGTCAGTACTCAGAAAGACAACAAAGACAGACATAGTCAAGGACACACTTGTGAGAAGCGTAATAAAAGTAGTTCTGGGTTCCACTTTCTTTGAAGGTTGTAATAACCCAGTTAAGAGTTTGTGTCATTTGAAGACAAAAACTTAAATATGAAACTCCAGTTTCTTTAGGGTAAACCATCTGTTCTGGATTATTCCTTTTGGCTTGTCTAGAAGCAGAAAAATTGAACAGTTTTTTGTGCCCACTTTAGCAGAAAAAACGCGGAAAGGAGGAGTCCAGCTGGGAGAGCCCTAGGAAGGCAGTTTGCCATTACGTGAACTTAAAGCAACTTCTTGGGTCTCGGTTTTCTCATCTGTAAAACAAGAGGAGGGGATGAAGACACAGTTTCCTAGATTTTCAACTCTTTGTTGCCCTGTCCGCCTTTAGTATGGTGCAGAGCTCGGAGCAAATGCTGAATAATTGCTTGCTAAGCGAGTGTTATTTTTGATCTATCTGTCGGAGATCCAGGCCGGGTTTTTGAACCTATCCCGCGCAGGCGCGGGAGGGCCGCTTTACCGGCGGGG